GGCGGCCAACCCAATCTTTCTGGTCCGGACGGATGAGTGTACGAAGCATCATTTGAGCGGTTTGATGTGCCCGCTCCGTCTGCCCGTCTGTCTGTGGATGCCGAGCCGAACTTGGTTTCATCGTCGTGCCGGACTCCTGCATGAGCGCAGTCCAAAATGCTGACATGAAACGAGTGTCGCGGTCGCTGACTATGTCTTCTGGTACACCGTGGCCACAAATCCAACCAGTGTGCAAGAGGCGTGCCAGCTCGGGAGCCGTGGAGTAGTACTTGCAAGGGAGAAAACGTGCGTACTTACTCAATCGGTCCACAACCGTGAGGATGCCGTCGTGCCCGAGCYRGTCGCGGGGAAACGGACCGGTGACGTCCATAGCAATGGAGATACCAACTTCTCGTGGGATAGGCATTGGGCGTAACTTGCCATAGGGATTGCGGTTGCGGGGCTTGCTGCGTCGGCAAACTTCGCAAGAGTCGCAATACCGAGTGGCATCGGTAATGAGGTCGGGCCATCGGAATCGTTGTCGAAGCYGTGCAATAGTGCGGTTGACTCCGAAATGGCCGGCGAGTCGTGAATCATGATACTCGCCGAGGAGGCGAGTCCGAAGACGGCGGTCGCGTGGGACACATAGTAAGTCCTTGCCTCTCGAGTGGAGGAGCAAGTACCCGTCGGCAATGCGATAGTGGCTGGCCGGCGGGTGATCCGAAGATAGCTGTGCATACAGCGTGGCGAAGTCCGGATCAGACTCGTATGCCCGGATGAAGTGTCGCTGAAGCTCCTCGWCGAATGCGAAGGCATGATGTGTCATAGCGCAAAGATCAGGTCTTCGTGAGAGTGCATCTGCTGCGTGATTTGAGAGGTCGGGAAGATGTTTCGGTGTGAAGTCAAACTGGTCRATGAAGTATATCCATCGTCCGATCGTGCTGCTCACCGTATCCTGCGTCTTGTAGTAGGTCAATGGATTGTTGTCCGTAACCCATGTGAACCTACGACACCCAAGGAGGAAGTGCCGCCATCGCTTGAGAGCCATGACGAATGCGAGCAGCTCCTTCTTCCTTGCATCATCAAGCGATTTGATGGGAGGCACTTTGTGGCTGAAATACTCCACAGGGTGTCAGTCGTCGCCGTCGTGCTGTTCCAAGACTGCCCCAATGCCATAGCCGGAAGCGTCTGTAGTCACTCGCGTCGGCAGGGTGGGGTCATAGATGCTAAGGACGGGTGCCATGAGCATGGCCGTCTTAAGTGCTTGGAATGACCGGCGTGCGTCGTCATCGAATACGAATGGCACCTTTGGCGACTGTAACCTCGTCATAGGTGCAACAATCTTGGAATATCCGGTGATGAATCGCTGATAGTAGCCCGCCAATCCCATGAATGAACGAACGTCCGTGGTGTTGGTGGGCTCGGGCCATACTCGTAGGGCCTCGATCTTGTCCGCAAGTGGAGGGATGCCTTGCGGCATCACATAATGTCCCAAGTACTCCAGCTCCTGCCGTGCGAATTCGCACTTGTCGCGGTTGGCCTTGTACTTGGCTTGTCGTAGCCGCTCCAAAACGGTGCGCAGGTGTTCCACATGCTCCTCCAAACTCCGGCTGTACACCAGGATGTCGTCGAGGTAGATAAGTACGTATCGATCCAGCATGTGTCGGAACTCCGTTGTCATAGCCGCTTGGAAAGTGGCCGGGGCATTCGTAAGGCCAAAAGGCATGACCAGCCATTCGAAATGCCCATATCGCGTCTTAAACGCGGTCTTGTAGCGATCCTCCTTGCGAATCTCGAGTTGGTGATATCCCGACTTGAGATCGAGCTTGGAGAAGAACTTGGCGCCGCCCAATCGCTCGAGAAGATCGTCGATGCGTGGGAGAGGGCCGACGTTTCTGATCGCCTGCGCGTTGAGCTTGCGATAGTCGATGCACAACCACAAATTCTTGTTCTTCTTCCGGACGAAGAGAACAGGAGCACCGTATGGCGATGAGCTAGGCCGAATCCAACCTTTCTCCAGAAGGTCGTCGAGTTGTGCCCGAAGCACACTTAACTCTTCCTCGCTCATTCGGTAGATGCAACCGCGTGGAGGTACGGCCCCATCCTCGAGGATGATCTCGTGGCGGATGGGTCGATCTAGAACTACTCCATGTGGGCTTTCGAGCACATCGCTGTAGGCGTCGAGAAACTCGGTGATGCGTGGATCCGAAGGTGAGTCCGTGGATGAAGTGTCATGGGGCGGGAGGGCGTGGAGAAAACACACCCCCATCTCCTCGATATCGTCTCTAATGATGGAA